ATGGGATCCATCAATATCACATCATACTGATGTTCAATATGGAAGATATATATTTTGGAGATATATACGGTATTTCGATTCTCGATAGTTACTCCATATTGTCACTCAATATCAATTCAACTATATTGTTTATATATTAGTTTTCGATATAGCTCTGAGCTCTATTTTTGATATTTGTCAATATTTTTTTTCAATTCACTACCCACATTGGAATATCATTGTTCCATGAACTTTCAAATACGACATTATTCCATATAGGTTGTAGTTGATGAAGAAAAAAAAATACTATTATTGAAGCATTTAATGAGCATAAAGCGAAAGCTTATGTAGCTCGTGATAAAATGAGATATGAACTTGAAAGAGCAGCAGAAATAAATTAAGTAGAAACCCTCACCTTCGATTTACAAAAAACTCTTCCATTACCAAGAATCCCTACAATCCTGGTATATTATAAAATACAGCTCTGGGTATATAATTGTGGTATTCACTCTGGAAAAGAGAATCAAGGGTACTGTTACTTATGGATAGAAGGGACTGCTGGCAGGGGATCACAGGAAGTCAGTTCCTGCCTGAAAAAACATTTAACTGGAAGAGTTTCTAAAGATATAGAGGAAGCCATATTTTGGAGTGACTCTTGTGGGGGACAAAATCGGAACATAAAGAAAGTTCTTATGTGCAAAACATTCTTCAGCATCCTGCCAAACCTGAAGCGAATCTTCTTGAGGTTTTTGATTCCAGGACATACATATTTGCCAAATGATGACGATTTTGGGAAAATTTAGTCAAAAATCAAGAAACAAGAACGAATATATACAGTTGAAGAGTATGCAGATATAATGAAACAAGCAAGAATAAAGAGGGCTTTGAGGATTTCATTGATGCAGAAAGAAGTATTTTTAGGCACTGCGGCTATGGAAAGCAAAGTTACTAATAGAAAAATATCATGTGATGAAACCCCAGTGAATTGGTTGAAGACAAGGGAGATTTTGCTGGAGAGAGATAAACCCTATATAATCAGTATGAACCCTACTTTCGATCAAGAATGTAGAGTGGAGGTAAATATAAAAAAAAGAAGATTTAATCAGCCTTTGGCCAGAAGGAAAACCCATCAACCCTAAAAAAATCGAAGATTTGAAGGCAATATACCCTTTCATACCCCAACAAGCAATCAACAATTTGTACAAAAAGTTAATTCCTGCAGAACAAGATACTGGGGCAGATATTGATGGCTTCAATGGTCCACTGGATTTTGAACTCATGAATGAAAAAGAGTTATAGTTTAACATGTGTAATACTTTGATGATATTTTTTAGTTTTTATAAGTTCCGAAGTTTTAAAAAATTGCAGAAAAAATTGTTTTGGGTTTTTCTCAGTAGGTAGCTATAAAATCATAGTATTGAGCAGCATTCAGTTGTTGATGCTGTTTTGTGTATCTGTTCAGGAAAATAAAGTTCTTGAATAAACAATAAAATACATGATCTTTTCCTGCAAATATCAGTTCGAATGCTTTTATTTCCTCGTTTTCGAAAATATTTCACCAATTTGAATCAGCTCTTATATTGATTTCTACACTGATAAGAATTTATCTTTGTTGTATGACTTATTCTGATTCAGGGAGTTTCAAAAAATCTACCATTTGGTTTTTCAGATGAAAAAGTAACACTTCATCTGAGTTTACTACCTACCTTGATTCCTCCGAAGAGTAGAACACTTTTGATGAACCGCAAGCATTGGAAGTTTTCAGTAGCCGAAGCTTTGGACAGAATAGAAGAGAATAGAATATAAAACTTCCTTCAAACTTGGATTACCAAGTATTGAAAATTGTCAGCTCTCGTCTATGATTACACTCATTTTAAAAATAATCTGAAACAAACTAATATACATAATTTAAAATTAATGCTTGACATATATGGTATGCTAAAATAACAATGAGTAAAATAACAATACATTGAAAATACATGTGAGAATACGAACAAAGGAAACAATAATCAACCATATTCAACACAATTTTTATTATTCATTTCCAATGGACCATTATGAGTCGAAGAAAAATTCGTCCAAAGAATAAAACCATCTAGCAACTAAAATGTTTTCAATATTTTTCCTAGAAATGTAGGGGCTGATTGAAATTTTCAGAGATTCGGGTAGATGATTGAATAACTTCCTCGAGGTATGAATAGGCCCCTTCGTTATCTGAGCAATTGAGAAATATGGTAAATACAGTTCATGAGCATTCTTCGTTACATAAATATTCTTTTGTCCACATAATTTGTATTTGTTTAGATTTTTGAAAATGTAACATGCTCCTTCTAGAATGTAAAGATTTTATACAGTTCCATATTCAATAAACAATAGTCTACAGGAATTCATTGGTCTTATATAAGTCTAATTATACGTTTTTGGCTCAGAAATACTCTATTTGCTCGTTCACTATTATCCCAACGAAGTCACCCATATCTTAGGGCAGATTCACACATGCATAATAATAGGACAACAAAACTCCTCTACTGGTGACCTTCTTAAGCTTAAAAATGTCAAAATTCATCTTGGATAATATTTTCATCATTCATTGAGTATGTGCATTCCAGGAAAGGTTTTGGTCGACAAGTGAGCCTAATAATTTGACAGTTTCACTCTGTTTGATGGAAACATCTGATATACCTCATCTTACCAGAAGGCTTAGGTCAGACTTGGACCTGATTGGTGAAAACAACAGCGATACAGTTTTTGCAACATTCAAGATGATACCATTTTCATGACAGTAGTTCTCTATTCCATTTTTTAATTGATACATGTATTGGTGAGATTTATTGGGATGATAATGTGCTTGGATTTCTTGAGTATGAATTATGTTGTCTATTTAAACTAATTTAAAAATTTTCAGTTCTATACTCATGTTTTCTCATGTAGATTCTTGACTAAGATTTTTCAACGTATCGTGACTACACATATTCAACCAATAGGTGGTTGTTATACCCCATCAGTTAACATTCATGTGACTAAAATGATTATTGAATTTCAATACTGGGTGCTGAAGGGATGGAGAAGTTAATCACACGCTTCCACCTGAATGAACTGATACTCCAACCTGGTCGTTCATAGGGTAAGGTTGCCGATATCGCACTGGTTCCTAAATTGTACCACTGTTGATTTACAGACAATCATCTGACATATTTGCCATCTAACAGCTATTTCGAGAACCAACCATATGTATGAAGTCATGCAACAAGCGCCACGCGAGTGCTATTTCCCATTTTGAATTTATACCGTCAGTAATATTGAGGTGTACATTGCTATAATAATCAGTTGCCCGCCGTAAGGAATTATTCACGGGGTAAGTGGAAATATTGAATTATTTTGAGTTTACGGTGACAATATCACTTATATTTCGTCGATTCCAAATGCAAAAACCATATTTTGATTGAAATTTTGAGGTTTAAAATGTTATTTTATCATGAATTGCGAAGTGTCCTATATCGCACCACCTGTGAGTTGCTCAAATCGCACTAGTGCTATTAGGGAAACGATTGATGGTTAAGGAATTATTCAATGATTTTAGGTTCCAAGGATGGAAAAGCCGCAGTACGGTAAATAGAGTCCTCAAGCTATGGAAAATGCTATTGAAGAGTACAAAAAAGGTAATATTGGACTTAATAAATGTTGCGAAAAGTATGATGTTCCTGAAAAACATTCATCAGGCATTTGAAAGGTCAAGTAAAAAGAAGAGTAGTACCTAGAGGCCCAAACTCGTTGAATGGAAGATTATCAGCTTTGCCCCCTGATGTTGAGGGGGAATTAGTTTCCCACATTTTAAAAATGGAGGATCTACTCTTCGGAATGACAATTATCGATATCCGAAAACTTGCATACGATTTTGCAGAAACAAATCCAAATTTTAACAATCCATTCAGCCGAGAAAAGAAATGCGCGGGAAAGAAATGGTACTATTCCTTTATGAAACGGCACCCAAATATAAGTTTACGTCAACCAGAGAGTATTTCGATGGCTCGTTGCAAGGGATTCAACAGAGCCAATGTCAACCGATTCTTCGACTTATTAGAAAGGATTGTAGATGAAAATCACTTAGATGCTCAAACCATCTATAATGTTGACGAATCAGGGTTTTCAACTGTGCAGAAAAGATGCTCGAAAGTCCTCGCTAAACGGGGAAAACACCAAATAGGCGCCCTTTCCAGTGGAGAAAGAGGAGTCAATACGACTCTGGTTGCCTGCACCAGTGCTTCTGGAAATTTTGTTCCGCCGATGATTATCTTCAAGAGGAAGAGGTTTCACCCTGCACTTGCGAATGGTGCTCCACCTGGAAGTTTGATTGAGGTTTCAGATTCTGGGTATATCAACTCCGAGCTCTTTGTTAAATGGTTCAGACATTTTATATCATACGTAAAGCCAAGTAAAGATTCCAGAGTTTTATTAGTATTTGATGGACATACCACGCATTCCAGAAACTTGGAAGCTATCAATCTGGCACGCGAAAATGGTGTAATAATGCTACAGCTACCTGGTCATACGACACATAGATTACAACCTCTAGATTGTTGCCATCTTCAAACCATTAGAAACCTATTATGATCGGGCAATAAGTGGATGCGCTGCAATCCGGGACGGCAGGTAACACAGCTAGAGGTTGCAGGACTCATTTCTGAAGCATATGAGAAAGCTGCAACTTTAAGCAATGCAGCAAGTGGTTTTCGAGCAACAGGGATTTGGCCAGTTGATCGTTCTGTATTTTCTGATGCTGACTTCGCAGCGAGTGAAAATCTGAACTCTCAGGTCCTTGTCTCTGAAGTTGAAGAAGATAAAGAAAACAACGTGCCACATGTGAAAGAAATCTCTCCAGGAACAGAAGATGTTGAGCCAGAAAAGGAAGATGTTGAAATTTCTTCTGTAGAAAATGATAGGGTTACCAAAACAACTACTACCACAAATGTTGTTTTCAAAGCAAATGAACTTGAAACTCCATCAGATAGAACTCTTTCTAGGTTACAAGTTCCCATTGCAAAATTAAGCCCACTGCCAACAGTAACAAGAAAGTATGAAGAGCGAAGGAAAAAAGGAGCTCAAAAGGCGATAGTCGTAACTTGGAGTCCATATAAAACTGATTTAGAAATATCGAAAGAGACCCAAGCAAAGAAGAAAGCGAAGAAGAGAGCTAAGACTATAGCAAGTAATGTATTTTCGAAGGAAAAAGATGAGAAGCGCGCAAACATCGATGAAATTGAGGAAGCAGGTCCTAGTGGAATTGGGGGGAAGAAGAAAAAAGCAGAAATTGCCTCCAGCATAGCAAAAGTGGACATTGTAATGGATAACGAAGAATGGTACTGTTTCCTTTGTAATGAAACCAATATTGAAGATATGGTACGGTGTCCAGTGTGCAACCAATGGGCACATAAGAAGTGTGTGGGGTGTGATGACGAAACATCCAGAAATAATTTTATTTGCGATCTATGTTTATCTAGAAATGTCTAAAAATTATATTTTTTTATTTATTTATTTATTTATTTATCCAATGAAAATGGGATACAAACAGACAGAAGCCCAGAACTGCATCCACTAGTTACGCAGAATACTCTGATGCTTACATTTTACAAAGTTAATATCACAATAATATTAAACATTCAGTACCTGAAAAAAAAAAAAAAAAATTCGAATTCAGATCAATCAGACGAATATATGGTTTCTAATGAGTGCCCTGAACTGATTCAATGATGTACAGTGTATATCTACGTTGCTGCAGTATTTATTAAAATAATCACTCATTCTACTCATTGGCGAGTTCAGTCCCAAATTGGTATGACAAAAATTGACATTCAAAAATATTTTAGGTCTTGTGGGTCTAGACAGTACATAGAATGATATAAGAGATAACAACATAGAAGAACTAAAATGATTCCTCATTATTTTCTAGATGAATAATACATCAGACATAATTCTACGTTGCTCCAAGGTTATAAGTCCAAAAGAGCGTCTGGTTTGGTTAATACTCTCTACAACAAATGAATTGTTCACTCTAAAGTTCAGAAATCTCACAAAATTATTTTGAACTCTCTCCAATCGGACTTTGTGGTTGGTATAATAAGGACTCCAAATGACACTTGCAAAACATAATCGGCTATATACGTAGGCATAATATAATGTTTTGATTGAATTTTGAGTCCGGAAATATTTACAAGTTCTTTTAATAAAACCTAACATTCTATTGCATTTGTTAGTAACATAATCAATATGCATTGCAAAACTTAATTTGGAATCGAAAATAACTCCAAGGTCCTTAATAAAAGATGGATACCATTCAGATTATAATCAAATGTAATAGGGTTCTGGTTCCTAGCAAAGCTTATACTGCAACATTTCCTTGAGTTCAAAAGTAATCTATTCTTTTTACAATACACATCTAACCTATCGAGATCGTTCTGGAGTTTCATACAATCGTCCAACGACATAATTCTTGTGAAAAGTTTCAGTTCATCAGTGATTTGTAGTGGACTGTAGTTTTCTTTTTATTTTTATTTTAATCACGCTGAATCAATCGCGGGAAAGTACTTCCTACCTTAAACAGTTGAAATCTGCACCATTCCAGGGAATCCAGGTTCCAGGGCTGCTCCAGAAGTGGAATTTTAATATGCGAACGCGGTGCACCGAAAAACGCGGGTTTTAAATCACTAGAATTGGTTTTCTATCGATTTTTATTTTAGGAGTCAACTGCGCGCTCGATCCCGCCCGTTGCGTCTGTGTCGTTCTCTCTTCTCCGGCAGGGGTCGCTGTCCACAGGATTGGAAGTAACTTTCATGAACGCGAAACGGCGGTTAAATTTAAAAAGTGAATCTTTGTGCACCAAATATATGTATATATGTATATATATCAAATAACTATATGAATACTATACAAACTAAAACTAGACAAAAAGAAGGGTAAAAACGTTCTTGAACATTCTCCCCACCTTTTTGTTAAATGCTTTTAACAAAAATTAAACTAAAGAGGTGGGAACGGACAAAGTTTGACCAAAGGCCGTTTATAGGTCCCAGAACTTGTGTGAACCGTCGCCACACGAGCCACACCGTCCTTACCAGGATGTAGTTCGGTGTACGCCACTGCAAGGGAGGAACATTTTCATGTTTTATTAAAACTAGATCCCCAGGTTTGACGATTGATTCTGGTGAATCCCATTTATAGCGGTTTTGTAGATTGGTCAGATACTCGTGATGCCATCGGGCCCAGAAATCTGCGTGCATCCTCTGAAGGAGCTGCCATCTGTTCAAGCGATTGAGACTCAAATGCGACAAATCGGGGTCTGGTAAACAGGTAAGAGGCTCGGTTGTTAAAAAATGACCAGGCGTGAGGACAGATAAATCGCGAGGGTCTGTGCTCAAGGGGCAGAGCGGGCGAGAATTTAACATGGATTCGATTTGAGTGATCACCGTGTATAATTCTTCAAAAGTGAGAATCTGTGATCCGATCACACGTGCTAAATGCGTTTTCAAAGATTTAACGCCAGCTTCCACCAATCCGGAAAAATGGCTAGCAGCGGGAGGATGAAATGACCAGATGAGTTTCTCAGACTCAGCTGCATTCTTCATAATTTCTAAAATGTATTTATTTGCACCTACGAAATTGGTGCCGCAATCACTGAAAATTCTGGAACAGCGCCCTCGGCGTGCGATGAAACGGCGCAGGCCAGCCAGAAAAGCGTCTGATGTCAAGTCGGATACAAGTTCAAGGTGTAACGCCTTTGTAGCAAAGCACACAAACACGCAAACATATGCTTTCAGGGTTTTCGACCCACGAAGTTTTGCCATAGTGACAAAAAAAGGGCCACAAAAATCCACAGAAACAATGTGAAATGCTTTTATTTGTGAAACGCGGGGAGCTGGTAAATTGCCCATTAGGGGTTGCAGCGGCTGGGGGTTCAAATGCCAACATTTGAAGCATTTAGATAAAATTTGTCTGATAGCGCGACGAGACGATAGTATCCAATAGTTTTGCAAAATTAAATGATGTAACGTTTGTAAACCAGGATGGAAATTTTGTTTGTGCGTGTCTGTTATTATTAACTCCGTGAGACGGCTAGAGCGAGGTAAAAGAATAGGATGCTTCCTATCATACTCGAGGAGAGAGTTTTGAAGTCGCCCTCCAACTCTCAAGATTCCATCTTTGTCTAGGAAAACAAGGAGCCTCTTCAAAGGCTTAGAAGGACTTTTATTTTTCAACAACTGACGAATGTCATTCTCAAATGAAAGATATTGCGTATATTTGACTAAAATTAACAAAGCAGAATTCAATTCCATATAATCAAAGTTATGGCCTAACTTTCGATTTCGAGGATTTTTTGTATTTGATACGAAACGTAACACATAACCAATAATTGTCTTAATTTTCTCTAAGGAAGAAAATTTGTTTAATAAATTCTGTATTGTGTCACAATCTACAAATGCTGACAAAGTGATTTTTCGCTCTTCCAGATTCAATGAATCTGAAGAAGGTTCTTCAAAGCGCGAAACGGGCCATAGGTCAGCGGAGCACCGCAACCAATTCGGCCCTCCCCACCATGAGTGGTGGTTTGGGAGCTCACTAGGCAATATACCTCGAGATCCGCAATCCGCGGGATTATGTTCAGATCGAACATGATGCCAACACATAGGTGAAATTCGATCTTGGATTAAGGATATTCTATTGCCTACAAAAGTTCGGTTATTTTTTGGGTTCGACCGTACCCAATGAAGCACAATTGACGAATCACTCCAAGCAAAAATACGACTAATCGTGATTTTGGCTTGGTAATTTGTTAAAACGAAAGAAAGCAATTTGGACAGAAGGTGAGCTGCACACAGTTCTATTCGAGGAACAGACAAGCATTTTGTTAGTGCAACTTTTGATTTTGCACACAGTAAAAACACAGAAATGCGATCATTTTCGATAAGCCTCAAATAGACACAACAAGCATATGCCTTTTCCGAGCCATCACAGAAAGCGTGAATCTCAGCACCGCTCGTACCATTAGGAAACAGAAAACGCGGTATTTTAACTCCGGAAAGTTGCGGTAATTCTCTTTTATAAGAATTCGAGAGACGTAAAATATCCTTTGGTGGGGATTCATCCCAACCAATGCCTAGAATCCACAATTTTTGTATTATTATTTTAGCTAAAACAGTAACGGGGGTTAAAAACCCCAAGGGATCAAAGACCCTGGCGATCTCTGAAAGTATGTATCTTTTTGTACACGGTCTATCATGCAGAGTGATAGAATATGAAAAGTTGTCTGCAGAAGGATCCCACTTCAAACCTAAAATTTTCACTGTGGCCATATTATCGCTTTTGTCAAGCGAATATGATTGATTATAAAGGAAATCAGTTGGCAAATTCGATAAAAATTCCGGGCTATTACTAGACCACTTTCTTAGAGAAAATCCACCTTTTTCACATATAGAAATTAACTGTCTTTGAATTTCAAGAGCGCTTTCCATTGAATCGGATCCACAGATAATGTCATCGACGTAAATACTATCGGATAAGAGAATTTCGGATGCAAGAGGAAAGTTTGATTTTTCATCCAAGGCGAGTTGTTTGATCGTTCTTAACGCCAGCCAAGGAGCACTAAAAATTCCGAAACTTACGGTTAATAGTCTATAATCCAATAGCGGGTCATTGGGAGAGAATCTCCAAAGAATGCGGTGAACATCTTTATTCTTTTCGTTTATCCAAATTTGCCTATACATTTGGCGAATGTCGGCAGTAAAGGCAATAGCGTACAAGCGAAAGTTCAATATAATACTCATAATATCTTTCTGTAGCTTAGGACCCGTCAAGAGAATGTCATTAAGTGACATATTATTAGAACACCTGGCAGAGGCGTCAAAAACTACGCGTAATTTCGTTGTAGTACTATCGGGTTTTATGACACAAGAATGCGGGATATAATAGTTTGATACCGAGGAATCAATTTCAGATGGTGGAATAATTTCCATGTGAGAACTATCCAAATAGTCTCGCATGAATGCGGAGTACTCAGAATATAAAGCGGGATTTTTAACAAGTCGTTTTTCTAAACTAAAAAAGCGGCGACGAGCTATATCTCTGGAATTATCAAATGTCAATTGACAGTTATCATCTTTTAGCGGTAAGGCAACCACATATTTGCCCGAATCTGTTCGAAATGTCGTATCTGAATAGAATTTTTCGCATTTGGCATCTTCTGGAGAAAAAACATTTGGCGGTTGAATGTCTTCGCACTCCCAAAATTTTGTAACAATTTTCTCCAATGATGAAATTTCAATTGAACTAAACAACGAATTTAAAGTACTGGGCGGCGGAATTTCAACATTTCCGATCAGAACCCAACCGAAAGTTGTATTCAAAGCAGTTGGTAGGCCGGCCTCACCCTCAACGCGGCCGTAACATAACATTTGTTGAAACAAGTCGGCTCCTAATAGTAAGTCAATAGTAGCGGGAACAGCAAATTGCGGATCAGCGAGATTCAAATTGGCGATATGCGACCAACTTGTTGAATTTAAAGCAAAAGAGGGCATATTTGAACAAATGTTCTTCAAAATTAGCGACTCGAATTTTAAAGTAGGTTCTGGTGAATTTCTAGGGGAAATACAACACTGTACAGTACCCGAATTTGCCAGAGTGTTCATATCCCCTAGACCCAATATTGAGATGGACGACTTATACGACTTGAGACCTAAACGGCGTACGCATCTTTCTGAGATGAAATTTGCTTGAGAACCGGGATCTAGAAGCGCTCGTGCAGTTTGAAAATTCCCGCGCGTATCGCGAATATTTATCTGCGCTGTGGCCAGCAATACAGTTCGTCTGGCAGCAGCATGAGCAGCGCACGCGACAGGGTCGGCTTCAGTGCTAATCGAAGCGGTCAAAGCAGAATTTGAAATATTATTTTGGCTAGTGGAAGGAGTGTCGATGGAAGATGGCGGATTTACGTCTACAGAACGATTATTGTCAAAATGTAATGTGGAATGATGAGAATTAGACTGGCAAAGGCGACATGTAGATGTTGAAGAGCAATTTTTAAATAAATGTGTGTGACTAAGGCAATTGACACACCATCGTTTATCTTTGACTAATTTATACCGATCTTTAGGCGATTTTTCCAAAAATATCGGACATTTATACACAGCGTGCGGCGCTGTGCAGAGCGGACAATCGCGAGAATAACTAGGTGAATTATTTGTATTTGTTAAAAATGACGAACTTTGACGTGTTTGATAATTTGAATTATTTCTCGAGTTAGGTGGAGCGGAACTTAGCGGTTTGGGTTTCATACGCGGGGTTGAAAAAGAAAGCGTTTCATAGGCGTTGCACTGTTTAATTAGAAAATCTTTCAAACTCGAATAGGATGGCATATTGTTGGACCCATGTTCGAGTTCAAAGCGCGAAATAATAGTATTGTCTAATTTTTTCATCATTAAATGAAATAACACAAAATCCCATTGATCAATAGGATATTTCAGATTTTTTAGAGCGGCCAAATTTTCCGTGAAGGTGTCGACCAATTTACGGAGTTGGTGTGGATTTTCCGAAGATATTCGCGGACTATTGTCGATTTCATGCCAATGCGCGGTAGCCAATAGGCGAGTGTTTGCATATCTGTCAACCAGAGCCTGATATGCGATGGGATAATTATCGGCAGATAACGGAGTGCATTGGATTAAAGCTTTTGGCGGGCCATCTAGAGATGCAAGCAGATGAGAAAATTTCTCAATGTTCGACAATGAAATGTTTTTATGAACGATAACATTGAACAGATCTATAAAAGAAGTGAAGCTTTTAATGTCCCCATTGAATTTGGGTAACTTCATTTCAGGTAACTTCACCCTTGGAGCAGAATCCTCCTCAGGTGATGACTTTACCCGAACACTCCGATCAAACAGATCTGAAAAAAGTGCCTTTATGCTGAAATAAATATCTTCGAATTCAGAACGGATTTCTTCTTCCTTATTTAAATCTGCTTCTGTAAATTCATCCGAATTGCACATGACAGTTATGATGGCTACCTGTTTTTCATCAAAATTACTCCAAATAGAATCGATGCTCTGATATCTTTGCTTGAACACAGAAAGAACAGAATGACCTGCCTGAGGATCTGCAGCCTTGTGAGATACATTTGCAAGTTCTTTTAACCGAACTATTTCCGTATTTCGCAAGGCTTTATATTTTTTAAGCTTATCTTTCGAACTCATGAAGGCAAACTAAATTTAACAATCACAGGCGAAGTAATATATTTCAAAGACGGACCTGTGTAAAAGTAAAGACGGGCGGCTCGAGCGCGAGAAAGCAAAAAAGTGCGGATACTAGAGAACCCAAGATAGGTAAATTATAAAAACCGGGTAATTGAGAACTTAATAAAAACTGGACCTCAAACCACCAAAAAACTGACGGACTAATGATAGTGCACAAATAATTACAACTGAATAATGAAATTAGTACTTCAAAATGTTCAAACTGATAATTTTGAAATAAGCTATTCAGGCTCGAAGGATCAAAATGATTTGTAGTGGACTGTAGTTTTCATTTTATTTTTATTTTTATCACGCTGAATCAATCGCGGGAAAGTACTTCCTACCTTAAACAGTTGAAATCTGCACCATTCCAGGGAATCCAGGTTCCATACAACAAAAATTTTGAATCATGGAAGCATTGATCGATGTCATTAATGAAAATAATGAATAATAAAGGTCCAAGATTTGACCCTTGGGGCACCCCCGAGGTAACTATAATTGGGTAAGAGTTAAATCCATTGATACTAATGATCTGAGACCTATTGAATATGTAAGATGAAAACCATCGTAATATATACCAATTTCAGCAAGTTTCATCAACAAAATATTATGATCAATCTTGTCGAATGCCTTGCTGAAATCTGTATAGATAGAGTCAGTTTGAATACGATTATCGAGTGAATCTGATATAAACTGGTTATAAATCATAAGATTGGTTTCTATGGATCTTCTAGAAAAGAATCCATGTTGTTCTTCCAGAATTATGTGTTTGAGGCTGTCGAAGATTAGATCATATGATATGCTCTCGAGGATTTTACTAAAAATACAAAGTTTACTGATACCTCTATAATTAGTGACATCTCTTTTGTCTCCAGAATTCTTGTATATTGGTACAAGAAGCGCAATTTTCCATAGATCTGGGAATTCACCTTCAGAAATATATTCATTATATATCAGTGTAAGAGGAGTGCGAAGACTATAGGAGCATTGTTTTACAAAGTAAGCAGGAAAATTGTCAAAACCACATCCCTTCCTATCATCTATAGAGTTCAATTTGTTGAAAACTATTTCCTCAGTGAGTTCTACTCTATCCAATAATGTAGAGTTGGGAGTATTATTATATTTTAAACGGGTTCGTTTAACAGGTTCATAAACGCTTTTGAAATATTTCGAAAATAAGTTAGTGATCTCAGAACCACCTGACGCTTCCTCCCCCTCAAAAATGACAGAGGAAGGTATGCCAATATTATGCTTACTATTCGACGCAAATCGCCAAAACTTCTTGACGTCCACCAGTATTGCATTTTCAATTTGAGTGAGGTAGTTTTGATAATCTTGTGAAATTAGTCGTTTACTCCGCTGTCTCAACATTCATCAGTTTCAATAAAAGTGATTTCAAGTCGATACTTATTGTTTCATGTTTTCTCACTCAAAACGATGAAAATGTAGACTTAAATCACACACTCTATACTGTTTCAACCAGAGGTGCGATTCAAAAAACCCATAGTGTGATTTGGGAAACTAGTTACTCAAATCGCACCACTTGTAGTCTCTTACAAATTCACGAGAAATATATATATATATATATATATATATATATATATTTATTAACGTCATAAATTCATCAAACTTTGGAATCACCTGCCAAAAATATCATATTGATTGATAGCGATGACGATTTGGAAGAAAACCATCAATCCTATTTTAAATCTGTGAAAAATAGAAAAGTGGTGCAATATAGGCAACCTTACCCTATTATCTTTTTCATTTTTTTATATTTACAGATCCCTGGAGATATTGAGAGGTCAATATGTGACTATAGGAATAAGATGTTTTAGTTGAATCAAACTGCCAACCCTGCTACGAATCATTTCCGTTTATGTAGTAGTAGTTGAAATTAGGTATGAGCCAGAAACCCTCCTGAAGGCACTGGATTTGTTGCACGAGATTTTTCATGTGACAAATGCTTGCTACCCAATCAAATCCGAATATATGTTGCTCATAATTCAGAAATGAATAAACAATATCACCACACTTCGAGATAAGGTTATACCATATATATTAGACATCATTGAAAGTATCAAAGAGTTGAAAGTGATATCGTGAAAATAAATAGTAAGAGGAATAAAAATGTATGTTTCACCATTGGACAGATCCATTTCTGAGACTCAAGAATGAAATGGTACTTATGCAACTCCAAATTTTCAAATCCAAATTCATTTATATCGCACTCGACTTATCAACATGGCATATCTGACAACTATAAGTGCTATGAACCTCATTGCCACGTGTATTAAACATATGAAATGCTTTCAAGAGACACATTATTTTGAATCATTCACGCGATGATCAAGTTCATGTTTCTTTATCAGAAACACATAATCCTGAAATATTTGATCCAGTTTTAACGCCAATAGACATTGGTGAATACAATATTCCTAATCTGAATCAATCTGAAATGGAAACTCCCATGCTGCGTACCAGTAAGATATGCCAGAAGTTGGAAATTCCTTAGTTTGATATAAATAATGTATTCTGTTGTGTCAGCACATTGTATCCAGCGTCTCTGGCAACACCGCACCTGGCGGTGCTAGTAGTGAGTCAGGCATTTCCGAAAGATCGATAGGGGACTGCGCGGTGGGTGCTGGACGGCGATGGCATGGCATGATTCATGATGGTTGTATCTGAATTAATGAAGGAATAAAAGTGAATAGTAAATTTCTATTCAAGCATTTTATTCCGAGAACCCCCAACATACATAGTGGCAGCTTGGTGGTCTTCTGTAGTGAATAATCCCGTAAAATACCCGTGAAATAATCGGGAAAATCTCTGTCTGCTGTGCGTTCCCGCTTTGCTGTTGGGTTAATAGCACGAGTCGCTAGATTGCCATATACAACGGGACGTGATCAGTACATGTTGAAATCATGCATACAGACAAAATCAAAATGCCTTCACGGGAGTTCTGCTCCTGGGACAACACAACAGGTACAAGTTATGGCTCCCATTCAGGTCACACCCCCGAAAAAATTCAACTTCTCAGTACCTGCTGCATGGCCAACCTGGAGAAAAAGGTTCGAGAGATATATGTCAGTTTCAGGGCAGCTCTCAAAACCAGAGAAGGAAGAAATCGACATCCTCATGTATATTATGGGAGATGAATCAGAAGAGGTAGCTGTACAGTTCGAAACTCAGCCAACATTCTATCAAGAAGCTTTGGACAGCTTTCAAAAACACTTCATTCCAAGAAGGAATATAATATTTGAACGTTTCAAATTCAATTCCAGAACGCAAAAACCTGGGAAATTAGTAGACTCTTTCATCACCAGTCTTCGCAGCCTGGCAGAACACTGCAATTATAGGCAATTGAAGGAAGAACTTATTAGAGACAGAATTGTAGTAGGGATGTTGGAAACCCGAACATCTGAGAGGCTTCAATTGAAAGAGACATTGACACTACAACAGTGTACATTGGAAGCAGAGCAAGCTGAAATTCAGGCTCTACAAAATAAAGAGCTTTCGAGTAGCCATAGACAAATAGGTCGTGTGCAAGCTGTGGACAAAAATAGTGCTGGTTCACAAGGTAGTACTTCCTGGAAAAAAGGCAGAAGGCCATCTTAGTGTGGTTTTTGTGGTCTTCAGCCTCTTGAGAGGGATAAATGTCCTGCAAATCAATCAACTTGCAAGAAATGACAGAAAAAGGGACATTGGGCTTCTGCCTGCAAGAAATATAATCAGGTCAGATCTATCCAAGTTCAAAGTTTGTTAGAGTTAGAAAATGAATATAATGTAGATTACCAGTCTTCTGCTGATGTGTCAGAAGTCGAGGCAGACAATTTCTTAGGATCAATTACAATTAATCATGTAGATTCTGACCAGTGGGTTGCTTTGATTTTCGTTTCTAAACTGAACAAAAGTTTCGAATTCTTAATTGATAGTGGTGCAGATATAACCTGTATGTCTAAAAATTCAATTAGTTCTAAGTTAATTAAGGATATAAAGACTTCCAACAGAGTTGTTATAGGTCCATCTGGGATTAAATTGTCAGTACTTGGAACCCTTGGAACTAATCTACATTATACAAATCAAAATCTCCAAACTCAAATTCACATTATTGAAGGCTTAACAAAGCCAATTCTAGGAAGAACAGCTATTCTAGAATTGAAAGTTCTTAATTTATTTAATCAAGTTGCACCAGTAAAATTGACCGATTCTGTCATAACTTGAGAACAAATTTCTGAAAATTTTCCAAAAATATTTGATGGTATAGGAAAATTTAAAACCGAATTACAAATTGAGCTTGTTGAAAATCTTCAAACATATATCCAGTCTGTGCCAAGAGTAGTTCCTATACCACTTTTGAAACCATTAAAAGAAGAGCTGATTAGATTACAAGGTTTGGACATAATTGAGCCCATAGATTATCCTACAGACTGGGTTAGCCCTATAGTTGTGGTTCAAAATAATAATAAAATAAGGTTGTGTGTTGATTATACACAATTAAATAAATTTGTTCTAAGATCACATTTCCCTATAGGAAAAGTTGAGACAATTTTAGCAAAAATTTTTGGTTCTAACTATTTTTCAAAATTGGATACAAACTCTGGTTTTTACCAGATCAAATTGAGTATGGAGTCTCAACTTTTGACTACCTTTATAACACCCTTTGGTAGGTGTTTCTTCAAACGTCTGCCCTTTGGAATCACATGTGCTCCTGAATATTTTTCTTGTCTCCTTAATAAAATTTTATCTGATATAGAAGGCGTTGTAAGTCACGTTGACGACATTTCAATAAATGCTCCTACACTTGAACAGCATGATGAAATTTTATTTGAAGTACTGAAGAGAATTGAACAAGAGGGCATTACATTAAACCAAAATGAATGTATCTTTGCAGTCCAATCCTTGACATTTCTAGGTCATCACATTTCAAACATGGGAATATCAATTGATAGGGAAAGAATTCGTGCTATTTGTGAATTTCCGCAACCAAAAAATTGAAAACAAATTCTACAATATTTAGGCATGTTGAATTTTTCATGCAGATTCATTCCTAACCGATCACAAACTTTAGAACCTTCAACATCTTTGCTAAAAAGCCCTGTCATGGCCTACTTTGACCACACGAGACAAATTTCAATCCAGGCAGATGCATCCTCATATGGACTAGGGGCAAGTCTTATGCAAACCAACAAAGGAAAAACTGGAATAGTTGCTTATGCATCTCGTTTACTGTCTTACACCGAAAAAAGGTATGCTCAGATTGAACGAGAGGCCCTAGCTTCAACGTGGAGTACAGATTTGCGGAATATGTCACCGGTCTACCATTTCTCTTGCTCCAAACTGAGCACCGTCCCTTGTTACAGGTTTTGCAAACGAAACCAATTGATGAATTGACTCCGCGATTACAACGATTTAGGATACGCTTAATGCGCTTTAACTACCAACTTTATCATTCCCCGGGAAAAGACCTTACTATAGCCGACGCTCTGTCTCGATATTTTCCGGAAGAAGCTAAAAAACCGGATGAAGAAGAATTAACATCGGAAGCAGAAGCACACGTGCATCTCATTTCGCAGTCAATTCAAGTGAGATCAAAATAATGACGCAATTTTGACTAAGAATAAACAATACACAAAGGAAGGGTGGTCAAACAAAAATAAATTAACCTATGAGTTGCAACCTTACTATCAATATCGCTTTGATTTTCCTCATTCTGAAGATATCTCACTAAGAAATTCAAGAATTGTTATTCCATACACATTGCAACTCACAGTATTAAAATCTATTCATGATGGGCATTTTGGAATTGTGAAATGTCGAAATAGAGCAAAAACATCTGTTTGGTGGCTTTGGCTTTCCGCTAAAATCGAAAATTTAGTCAGAAATTGTCCTCAATGTATAGAGCACCGGTCAAATCCCAAGGAGCCTATGATGATAGATAAATTTCCGGATAGGCCTTGGCAAAAAGCTGCTTTAGGGCCGATTCCACACCTCCTCCCTAAATCTTCTCCTTAGGTAAGTTCCGCTTAAAGTTGAGTGCTACTTGAACCTAATTCCTATTCCACCAGTTTTTTTTAAACCTGTTCTTAGTTAAGTGACAGTCATCATTTTGGCGATGACTGTCCTCAGCTGTGGCTAACTTCATCATTGACGGAAATTTTATATTCTGTGGTAGCATTCTGGTGTTCTTTGGTTTTGTGTCGATTTAGTTCGTATTTGTACCACTCTTTTTATTTGTTTTCATTCATGATTTTCAAATCCATGGTGATCTTGTATAGGGTTGCCAATTTGTGAGTTATAACTCACATTTGTGAGTTATTTCAGGGACTGTGAGTGATTTTGTGAGTTGATGGCCAATTGTGAGTTATTTGTGAGTTATCTGAGGTCAGTGACATTTGAGTCGGAAATCCACGTGTTAGAGACAGTAATTTATTTTTTCATTCATTTCTCATTCATTCGAAAATGTACGCGCCGCCACTGAAACTTCAACGTTCATGAACAGGAAAAATCGAAGAAGACAGTGACAGGACGGACAGGGTGACAAGTGACAGTCTGACAGCACAGCTGACAGTATGACTAGTATGACGTATGACAGTAAGACAGTATACGAGATACCTGCAGTGCTTGATGTGCTGTGCACTCTGCATTTAATTAATTTTTTAATTTTTTTTACAAACAATAACAAATTAATAAAATATGTGATCATGATGATATGAATGTCAATATTTATTTTATTATGGATGAATGGGTCAGAAGAAATAAAGTTCCCACTGAACAAACAAATATCACCGAAAAACATGCGATTCAGGTAAATGGACTGGAGCGAATTTTTTTTTCAAATTTGTTCAGAAACATTCTATAACTTCCTTATTTCCAGAAAACGAAGGATGCAATTGATTCGATACCAAAGCAAAACAATAACGATGATGATGAAAACAATAGTGTTTCAGATGCTTCTGACTCTGAATCAGAACATTCACGATACAAGTTGTATCGTATTTGTCTGTCTGTCTGTAGTTTTTGCAATCTTCATTATTTAGTTATCGGTTTTTGTTCTTTTTCGGTTGTGCATATATTTGAAAGTGTGTTTCTCATTCATATATAAACTCGTATATGAATAATATTTTCAGCTGTGATTTTCACACATTAATACCAATGATTTTCAGAAAAAATGAGTGATGATGAAAATAAACCATCAAAGAGACCTAGGTCCTCCAACTATACTAAACAGGAGAAGAACTTGCTGCTTAATATTGTTTTGAGATTTAAACATGTCATTGAATCTAAAAAAACTGATGCAGTGACCTGGCGTGAAAAAACTATGACATGGACTAAGATAGCCAATATGTTCAACTCTCAGTCGCCATCTGGTATTCATAGAGACATGGCTTCACTGAAAAAAGTATATGACAATATCAAGAAGAATGTTCCCAGCAAACATTTTCGGTCGTTATTACGTCGGCCCAAAACCTGCTCGCCAGAAGTTGCCGACGCGGCAAAAGAGCGGCAAACGACGTCGGTCAGACATCAATAGGTCACTCTAGCCGGACCAATGTCTGTATACAGTCGGACCTAAAATTAAAAAAAGAAGTGACCGGTCGCCGCGTTCGAACTTGCGACCTTTGGATTACGAAGCCGCAATCTTACCAACTGAGCCATTTTTACTTCTTGTTAGATATTGACTACGGATGACCTATGAGTACTATCAATGAATACGTATAATAATCATATAACAGAGGACAAAACTGTCTAATTCTCCGATGAAGTAGACGAGAACAGTTAAAGTGGGGACACGTTTGTCAACATTCAACAATCAGGTTCACTCAATTCACCCACTATCTACATTAGAAAACTATTATTAATCAGAGTTTGCAGAAAAAATATTTCGTTATTTACAATAATCGTATCATATATTATGTAGTAACCAGTTTGAATACTCAAAGGTACTATCTGATTAAGTGTTCCCCAATATTTCGTTTTACATTTTTTTATCATAAAGTATAGATATTTTCTCATCGAAATTATACAAGCGAGGGATGATGTGTAGGTTATATCATATGATGAAGTCTGGTAAAGCGCGGATGCCTTTATTGCCTTCTATTGGCCAGGTGCCGGCTGGACTATAGTTGAATGATTTCAATATACCATACAAAGGGCCGATGTTTAGACGACGTAGTGGAATGCCATCACGATTTGATACTACTGGTCCAGTGCTGGCTGGATTATGGATAAACGATTACAATATACCATACAATGGGCCGACGTTCACCCGTTGCAGCTCAGCCGTTGCCAGCACTCTGCCGACTGATCTTGCATTGGGCCAGAAGGCGGCCAGAGATTCGATGTTTGCTGGGTTAGGAAAACAGTTGCTGATGAGAAAATTTCATTAAAACGGACAGGTGGTGGAGAAGGTCACTTCAATGATGATCCTGCATTAGACTTGGCACTAGACATTATCAATCCGAAGACTGTATTCGGTTTACAAAACCAATTTGATAGTGACAGTCAGAATGATGCACAGACCACAAAACAGAATCCTTGCCAGAATAGTATTGAGGAAGCTGCAGAAGATAATGTTGATCAACATTTTCATCCCAGTAATGATCTAGAAACTTTAATTATTCGAGTGGAAGATGATTCGGTCAGAACACAGTACATCTTGTGAACTGTTCAGTTCAACAAAGTACAAAGTATGTCAGAGACTACCAGAATATCTACTTTCCTTTTCACATGCACATTAAATAGAGCATAAACATGAAAAATGTAATAGAGCAAAATTACCATTTTCATTCTAGGACACCTCTGCTGTTGAAAGCATTGATTGGGGTGATTTCAAAACATCTCACCTTCGTACTGTAACTGATGCAAAAATCAAACCAAAAGTTTCAAGGTCAAGTCAGAAAAATACAAAAAACAGAACAGAAGAAGTATCAGTTGAACAGGGACCTTCAACATCTTGGTCTGCAAAGAGGAGGCCAATCACCACTGCTTTATCTTCTTCAGATATTTCTAAAAAATACATCATTCTGGCAGATTTGAAAATTGAACTAGTTGAAAAGGAGTTGGAGCAACTAGAAACAGCAAGAATAAGAAGAGACGAAATGGAAGCAATTGAATTTAATCTTAAAAAAAAAATCTTTGGAACTTGATCTGAAAATAAAGGGGGCTATTTTAGAAAAAATAGCTTCTTCCACAAATTCAGTTGATTTACTTTCTTTTCTAAAATAGTATGAGATATATTTGACTGATTTTTTTCAAATGTTATATTTTAGAAATGGATTTTGTATATCAATGGTTTGTACCTGAATTCTATAGTGAGTGTTATCGACAAGAGATTTATGTCTGTTATTTCTTTACTTTGATTTTAAAAATGAACACTGACTTCTGTGTATCAATTATGTGAAATATGTACCTGAACATTCATTTTGCATAAGTATTTAGCTTTTGTTTATTAGTTTCAAGTAGTTAGAGTTATCTGTTGAAAAATGTGATAATTTTATAATCATAAAGAGGTGATTTGTATTTGTTGTCCCCAGGGACCCGGACCGGAACCGTTATGAACCGAAAACCGTAACGGAACCCATATTATTTTGTGAACCGAAACCCAAACTGAACCCATATTCAAACTTCTATTATTCAGTGGTACCGAACCGGAACCCCTAAAAGTCAAAACGGTTTTTCCAGTTAATTTCGGTTCTCTCCAAGATTTATAAGGGGTGATATCAGAGCTTGTATGTTCTGTGAGTTCTATGAAAAACCTTCATTTTGTTTCATGACTTTTTAATGCCGACTGTCTTTTAGTGTTTTTTGTATAAGTTTGTACATTTACCTGTGGAAGTGTGCAAGTGTGCATTCACTTTTAGACAAAATATTGGGCGTAAAATAACCAGCGAAGCTCACCAACATTTCAATTACATACAGGTAGAGGACAAATCAGTGTGTAAACTATGTAAAGATGTGATAAAGGTTAGTACCATCGCAGAATTCTCAAACTGACCTCTTATCAATTTTTTATCATTCTTTATCATGTAGGGTCACCATGCAACAAATCTTAAAAAACATCTGATTCGGTCTCACAATTTCACTGAGGATCAGTTTGGAACAATAACATCAGTGAATAAATCATCTAATCAACCAAATGTCAAAGAAATGAATACAATCAAAATTGAAATCACAAAAGAAATATTGATTGATGCCTGTGTTGAACTAGTGACTGTTAATGGAAGGCCCTTCAGTTTGATGGAAGATTCTGGTTTCAAGAAAATATTGGAGCCAATAAAAGCAGGTCTTTCACGAAAAACGAAAGACAAGCATTTTTCTCTATCATCTGAATCTATTCAGAAATATGTGACCAGGGAAGCTGATGATGTAAGGAGAAAAATCATAGAAGAAGTAACAAACTGTATGGTTTCAGTGAAGGTTGATGGTGTCACTAGAATAGATCGCTCATTTCTGGGGATAAACATTCAATACATCAAGAATGGTCAAATTGTGTTGAGAACTTTAGCACTGAAGAAAATCACTAATCAACATACAGGTAACAAAATATATAATATACATAAACAACTCCCTACTCTCTAATTTTTCAGGAGCTAATTTGAAGACAATGATCATGGATGCATGCAATTCATTTCAAATTGGCCTTGGTAACATTTACAGTATAACAACAGATAATGGATCCAATTTGTTGAAAGCCATTAAAATCATTGCCTCCGAAATTGGAGAATATGATGTAATTGAGAATGAAGTAGATAATGATGATCAAGATGAATTCAGTGAAAATATTGAAATAGTTGTAGAGGATGACTCAGACATGGAAGGAAATTCTAGGTCAGGGGCTGGGCTGGAATTTGGAAGTGATGCATTTTTTAAAATATTTTATAAAAATTTTCAAGATTTCAATAATGATGGTTCTTCAACTTCTACTTTACCAAATCTAAGATTGAAGGTGACAGGTTGGTATCAAAAATGTCAATGATCTTCTTTTGAGATCACATGATGTGTTTCTTTCAAAGGTATGCGTTGTGCTGCACATACATTGCAGTTGGCAATTGAAGATACCCGGAAGCAGGATACAATAGTTGGAAAGTTGTTATTAGAAGTGAGAAGAGTGGTGAAGACTTTAAGAACCCAAACATTCATGTAAATGTTGAAGAAACAAAAATTAAAAAAACCTATCATAGACTGTCCAACCCGATGGGGATCTACATTTGATATGCTTGAGGTACTCTTGGAATTGAGAGAATTTTGCAGGGAAATGGAGGTGACTAGCTTCAATAAATTTAAGAACATATGTGATTCCGACTGGACAAAAATTGAAGACATTGTTTGTGGTTTAGAACCAGCAAGAAAATGCACCAAGAAATTGCAGTATTAACAACTAACTTTAGGCTCATTCTATGGCTACTGGCAAGAATGCAAATTAGCAACAGAACAAATTGGATCATCATTTGCAAGAACTTTATTAAGAAACATGACACACAGGGAATCCAAGTTGTTGGATAATGATGTTGTCCTGGCAGGGATTTTTCTGGATCCAAGATTCAAAGTAGTTCTAAATATTGATGAAATGGAGAGAGCAAAAAGTCATTTGAAGCAGCTGTGGGCTAGGTTATTGTCTTTGAAAAAGATTGCATCTGAAGATACAGAAAATGAAGATCCTGATGCTCAGACAATGTCAGTTGCATCCAACTTTTCCAATGATGAAATGGAGGCTTTTTTAAAAAAGAAACTGAACATAAATTGGAACAGGGATTTGGAACTCCATCCAAGAATTCTTTAATGACAACAAACAGAATTGATAATATTTTAAATTCTTTCCAAATTGAACAGGAACGTATACGTTTAACAAAAATTTCCACCGTATTTCAATTCTGGGAGGCAAAAGAAGAAATCATGCCAGAATTATATATGCTGGCACAAGTACTATTGGGGTTACCTGCAACACAGGTCAGTGTAGAAAGGCTTTTTTCAGGGCTGAAATTTCTTTTGCCTCCCACAAGAACTAATATTAAGGAAAAAATTTTAGAAGAGCAATTATTCATCAGAACTAACAGGATATTTGAGAGAAAAGAAGAAAAAATTAGGTGAGCTTTCATTCAGAATTTTGTTTATCTTCATTTAATTTATGAATTTTCAGTTTTGCTATCACAAAAAAGAACCCATCAATGCCACCATCACCCCAAGGAGAAAATGGGAGTAGTGGAAATAAAAATGATGAAGGAAATACTTCTCCTGGGGAGAAGGAATCCCATTCCAAGGGAAATAAAAGAAAATCGATGGAGAGACAGGAGAATAATATGGAGTTATTTTGAAAAAAAAAGAAAAAATCAATAATTATTATATTGTATTCAATATTTTTGTAATCTAAATAATAAAGATACTGTTCAGTGTTCAGTCCTGTGTTTTCTGCATGTATATTAATTTTTGGAAAAACAGCTAAATTTTCCTTGAGGTTGCAGTCAAGGGGATTGTTCGATGTAGATCAACTGTTGAATTGTCCAGCTTTCGAAAAATTTCATTTTCATTGACATAAGCATGGTATCTTTGAAATATACATATGACGTAGGTACCGAAAAGAACCCTTTGGACCGAAAAAAATTGCCAGAACCGAATCGAAATTATATTCTGGGAACCGTAACTGAATCGGAACCGAAATTTCCCATTTCCCTTGGACCCGAACCCGAACCGAAACCGATATTTCATTTGGGTCGCCGACAAGTTGTCCCCTTATGATAATAACATATTTTTATTTATTTTATTTATTCATTTATCAAACATATCTTCCAGTCAGAACACGTTCTGGTATGAGGAAGAGCATAATTATAAAATAATAAGTAATAAATATCTATGAACTCTATGAATAATAAATCATAATATAAATCAGGATATCACAATAATAAATCACAATAAAACATTCAATGAACAAAGAAAATAATTCTAGTCGAGGACATAACACACTGATAAATTTTAAACATTTCTCTCAGAAATAAACAGTTTTTTTACTTTTTTTTTCAAATGTACCTATATTTCTGCAGTTTTTTAATTTCATCTGGTAGTTTATTGAACTCAGATAAGGCTGCATGAGTGAATCTTTTTTGTCCGAGTGTAGAACTAGCAGCATCAAGGTGAAATAAGTTATATTGTCTAGTTTGATTACTATGAATTTCAAAATTTCTTGTCAAAATAATATTAGATTTCATTTTTTTATTTATGATATTGATGAAATATTCAGTCTCTAATCTGTAGATATTGATATCAGGCTTAATTGTCCTAATTTTTTAATGAGAAAATGTAAAATAAAAACAAATGAACTTTTGAGTAATTATATATAATAATGTAAATTTGAGGAAAATATAATATAGCTGAATGTTATAATCTAGCAAAATAGTGATCTATAAGGTCTCTTCTGACTCTTGGTCCTAAAAATTGTTGTTGATTAGCATAGGGTACTGGTGGAACATCTCCTTCTCTAATTAATTGTTGCAGTATGTGGTCATCTACTTGTTCAGGTAATGGTGGTTCTGGTTCATTCCTTCTTCTAGCAATGTTATTAAGAATTGCTGTAGCCACAATTACTGTGAGAGTATTCCTCAATTTTAGCCTGCTTCCATAGGCTAAAATTGGGAATCTCCTTTTCCAAGCACCAAATAGCCTTTCTACTACGGTCCTTGTCCTTATGTGGGACTCATTATATCGCTGCTCTGCAACGGGAACACACAAATCACCAGAATGTAAAATCGCAGATCCGTAATCCATCAGAATATACATTTTCAAATCAGTAACTTAACAGAACAATATTTTATAGGAATCGTATTTATCTCTACTGTAGATGCACAGAACCGCAATCCCTCAAACCGTATTTCGTATACTGTACATGAGCATACCAGACAATAACAGATTGCAAATGCGCAGATGTGTATTTTTCTATAATAGCAATATCGCAGATCCGCAAATATACAGAATCGAAAACTAACAAACCAACATCACAGCAGAATGATATTTCGTCAGAATCATAACAACACAGACCGTAATTCGTCAGAATCGCAGAATGACAGACCGCACATTAGCAGACCGTACTTTATCAGAATCGAAATACAACAGACCGTTTATCGACAGAATAGTAAAATGTCAGAACCGTACATTGACAGAATAGCAAAAAATCAGAACAGGATATTCACAGAATCTCGAAATATCAGAACTGTAAATTGAAAGAATCGTAAAATGCTAAAACCGTACATCGACAGACTCGTAATACAACAGACCGTATTCCATCAGAATCATATTATATCAGAACGTACAATGACAGAATGTACTTCATCAGACTGTAATGTCATATACTGTATTGTGATAGAATCGTAAACTATCAGAACCGTAATTCAGCAGAATAGTAAAATGTTAGATCCGTAAAATAACAGAATCGTAAAAATTCAGAACCGTACATCGACAGAATCGTGAAATATAGGAACTGTACGTCAGCAGAACCGTAAAAAATCAAAACCGTACATTGTCAGAATCGTAATTCATCAGAATGTAATGCAGCAGAACCGTAAAATGACAGACTGCAGAGAGGCCTACCAGCCACGCGCAGAGCGAACGCCGGTCACAGTGTTGCCTGCTCTCACGTCATGTGGGGATTCTACGTATACTTTCAGTTCGACCTGCTTTTATGTTCCTATTGCTCTTGTACACTCGAGAATAAGATCGTTCATATGATATGAAGTGATGAATGACCACATTTCAATATGAAATATATGAACGTCACCCAACTTTTTTGCTATATGAAGAAGAAAGTGTTTATTTGAAGTATTTCCTTAAAAACTACAATTTCTTGAAGTCAGTTGAGAGAAGGGTTCGAGAAATAGGTGTTTGGCATGTTACAAGTGTTTGGGATCACACGTTAAAAGGTAAGGCCCCCGTCATTCCTTGCTCGCACAAGACTTTCGAAGACTTCTGAGGGTTGCTCGTAAGGGAGCAACCAAATGACGGATGAAACAATTTTACAATTTTTTTTACAACAAACTTTGGAGTTTTCAAAGTTTGATTATAGATACAAGATATTGGATGTTCTTTATATGAATCTATGTCATACCCAAATTCATTCATTTTGTATTTTGTACTCATATTTCTAGAAAAAGGAAGAAGGTGATACGAAACTAGATTGAAATCGAAGTTCAGCTACGGAATTTAGTTTCGAGAATTCTTTATTAACGATAATTAGTGCGATGCTGTAGATAGGGATTGATGAAAAAATGCTTATACATACATACATACACATGGAAGCCATTGAATAAACGTTCTTGTAAAACTCACTATGGAAGCTATTAAATAAACGTTCTTGTCTATCTGATTCTGATTCTGATCTATATCAGGTGATCTTGGACCATAGGTGCCACCAGATAAAAATAGGATATAGGGCGGACAAAATTCGAAGATGAAATCGGGTAACCTACGAATGAAAACTGAGTGTGAATACTCAAAGCTAATATTAATCTGTGTAATTCTCGAAATGTCATCTCCAACCATTCAGAACTTGAAGACTAATTTTCCATGATATTGACCATATCCACTCGTCAAAACTGAACCCATCACCAGTTCCTAAGCAGTTTTTCGAACAGCCTCTGTGAATCTGAGATAGAACAATCAATAAAACAATAATTGATCTTCGCATTGTCGAGTTAAGACGAAAATGTAGTTTACCTAACAAATGCCGAAAGTCATACTTTTCCGCACCTGTTTATTTAGATATAAAGAAATACATAGAGAATTCGCATTCGGTATGTGATGAAATTATCAATTCTTTCTCAGTATATTCAACAGAAAACAACTACTTTCCTGGCTGCGATTTTACTAAATATACTGTACGCTAGCACAAACCACGCCGACCGTAATATCTCATCTTCGAAGTACTTAGGCAAAACTCAGAAACTATTTATCCTTAACGAACTAACCTATCCCTGATTGCAATATTTTTGTGGAAGGAAAACCGAATGGAGTGTAGAAACACATTGATTAATAATATATTTCAAAAGTTGAGTTCTTCAACAAAATTGAATAAAATGAGACTGTTTATCCTAAACGCACTAACCTATTTGACTTCAAATATTTTATGAAAAAGAAAAACCAGAATGAAGTAAAAAAACAAAAAAGTTGCAAAAAAAAGTTCAAGTTCACAGCGATTCGAACCATGGACCTTCAGACTGAAAGTCGACAGCGCTAATAACCAGTAGACCATTTGGGTGTATGAATTTACTGCGTACAGAAAAAACATGTTCAACACAGAAGTGCATTTGCAAAACAGAGGATGTATTTTGTTGTACTGAATGTAAATGTAACGCTCATTGTAAGAATATTGAAAAATCCGATGACGAAGACCATCAATAAATGTACATTGTTCACTTTTCTGTAAGATGTTTCTTGTAAAATCCGCCTAATTTGCATTTGTGACAATCAACTATACATTCGAAGATATCTAGTTAAATATAAATTGCTCACCATATCTTCCACTTCGACAAAATGAGCATATTTTGATGAAGAATACGGTCTAAGCGCGCGACGCGAGGCGCGACGAGTGAAAGTTTCATCGATCGTTACGCTTAGAATGGTTTATTGATTTCACATTTTTGCTCCGACGAAACGCCTCGACTGTGGTGCGCTGTCCTAAAAATTCAATTGCA